TTTTTCCTTCTCAGTAATATGTGAGATGAGAGTTGAGAAAGCACATAGGTTGTGCAGAGGGGAAAAGGTCATTTAAGTACAATTAGAACAATCGCTACATTTAAATAAATATCTTTGAGGTAGGGGTTAAGGAAATGCCTACTCATTGTGTCTGATGCATACCTCATAGAAAGAGTTCTTTCTCTTAGAAAGATGCCGTTCTATTATTGTGCTTCCTCTGCCTTGTAAGGAATAATTAAAAAAAAATAACAAAAACAACAAAAAAACTTGTAAAGAGTATCACATTCACATACAGAACATATATTTTGCAGAAAAAATAGCAAAATATTTTCAATTGCAGCTAATATCATTTCTCTGATGCACACACTGAAGGAAAATAAAATTCAAGTATACAGACAGAACACCTACAACAATATGTTCAGGCAATTAAAGAAAATGAACAGAACTTCTAAAACCAAATACTCAAAACACATGTCATTGCAGCTTCTAGCTAAGAGCTAGTTGTTGTTTGGGACTATGTCTTTCTGCCCAAGCCTCTACTGAAAAGCAAACTCTGTAACTGTACTGACCTAACCAGAAGGTAACGAGCTTTTAACCTGTAACAACTTAATACCATTGCTGTGTCCAGTCAGTACCTGTTGGTTTTGAACTGGGCTACCAGTCACAGGTGAGAAAGCTTTTGACAGATTTCAGGCAGTAATGCACTTAGGTAATTGTTTAGGGGGGATTTTTTATTTTTATATATTTTTAGCAAACCTGAGTATTGTAATCCTAAAAATATGGACCTGACAGGAAAGAGGAGCAAAAGTGGCACAAGAAAATAATGCTATTTTCCCTATCTGGCCAAGTGCAGCCTCTGTTCTCTGATAATGGTGAGAGCTTGTTGCTTTAGAAGGCTGTACCTCTGCTCCCCAATAATAACCTTGCTAATTGTATAGTGTTGTATATAGTGGAAAAATTTTTCCTGACCCCGCAGGGAACTAGTGCTGTGGAGCGTGAGATTTGATTAGCCTTATTATCTTAGCTTGCCCAGTTACTAACGTTGTAAGCTGCCATGAAATTATCCACCCCTTTTAAAAATAAAGCCATACTATTTGTCTTGATTATCTCCTCCTGTGCAGCTGAATTCCACATGCAAACAGACCTCAGTGATGGAAATAGCATAGGAATTAGATGCATAGACATTTAACTCTGAAGGTATAGTCTCCTTTTATTCTTTCAAACTGCCTTTCCGAGTACATCAACATTCTCCTAATTGTTGTGGTTTTGATCAACTCCCTAAAAGAAAACTGTTTCTATTTTACCTTCAATATTTGTAATCATCCACGTGATCCTTTAATGAGTTCCTCTGGGATAGCTTGGAAAATCATGCAATTACTCATGAAATGTAGTTTACAGATTTTGTGATGTTTGCTGAATCTTTTCAAAGATTAAAACTTGAACAATGTTTAGTCTTGAATGATGTTTTCTGCACAGATATGTAATTATACCATATACCATTATACCATATACCATTATACTCTCCCCACCCCCACCAAAAAAAAAAAAACAACACAAAACACACACACAGAAAACAAAACAAAAAACCACACATACAACCAAACTACAACAACAAAACACCACCAAAACTCTAGCTCATTTCTTTGGCACAAAGAACTTCACAAAGTCTCACTGCTTTGATAATGATGATCTTGGATAGTACGCCAGCGGATGCATAAACAAATTATCATCATGAGATTGGTGATAATGGCGATAAAAACAGATGTCTGAAGACAGATCATAACTGATTATCCCTGTTAGACATAGGTAAACTAAAGCACACAGAACATTGGACTTGCAGAGTATGCCAGCAATCAGCTTAAACCAACATTTATAAAATGTACTGTCTCCAGGTCTTTTGCTCAAAGTACTCAACAACAATTCTCCACAACAATTAAATGTGACATGGGAACCTAAATCAAAGAAGCTCTTCTGTGGGTACATCTGTTCCTTTTGTCATTAAACTAGTCATCAGAACAGTAACAGAAATGCTCAGAAATCAGACAAAGGATTGTGCAGACCATAAGACAAAGCAAAAGTTGGTGTACTTGGCATCAGATCATTCCTTCAGTAATAAGCAAATGCGGTGGTGGTGGTGAATAGGCATTTTTGTTTGTTTGTTGTTTTCCATTTGTACACCCAGGACTGTGACGCGACTGAAAACCACATCATTCCCATCCCCTCATTTTGTACACTGGAGTGACTGCTCCTCTACCCCTTCAACATCCAGACAGGAGACCTAACAAAACCAAAAGGCTCTGGAGATGCACCTCTACCATGCAACTGGTAGCACCAGCAGGGAACTATCACAATATTAGCAAACCTGATCCCTGCAGTTGTACTGAGAGGAGCATCAGGCTTCAGAGAAACCGCTTAACTGAGTGAGATCCATGCCATCAGAGATTCAAAGGCAGAGTACAAAGCTCTGTAGAGTCATAAATTCCAGTTCAATTAAATACTAACTGATCAACCCCAAAGTACGAGGGCTGGGGCTGACCTACCTCTTTTATGGTCCCTGAATCCTGTAGCTAGACATAGACTGAAATAATCCCTGGCATAAAGCAGCTCGGCTTTGGCACTATTCTAATTTATGCCTGGCTGCCCATGACCACTAGCCAGAAATTGCTGGGGCGTAAGTCAGCCCTGGCCAGGTCCCCTTCTTCTCTTCCCTAAAATGGGAACAGGATGAGGCTTGGCTGAAGTGCAGTAATTGCCTGTTAAATGGGTAAGAGAGACTTAGTCATTTTGTGCTTCGGGAATGATGCAGAACTATCAGATTGAACCGCACCATCAGGATCCTATCAACCATCCTTGAACGGGGGATTTCTGTTATGAGTGGCATGTGAATGTAAGCTATAAAAAGCCAAAAAGATATGATCATTCGGACCAGAGGGTAAAAGTCAATTTCTAAATTCTCTTCTAAAACAATACATCTCTGTTTCTTTCTTGACCCTAATGGGTCAAATGGATTAAATATTGGGCAAGAAGCGGTGTGCAAGCATTTGGGGCACATTCCCAAAGGGGCTTTAATAGCCAAATCACAGCTGTGGAGGCCAGAATGGAAGACATTCAAAAAGCTCCAGAGCAGTCAAAGTGCTTCGCGTTTAGATATTTCTGCTACAGCCAAAAATGGGCTATCACATTTCACAGGTTTGGATTCAAGCTTTGTGTTGAACTGTAATAAGGAACCTCTGAGTTTTGCAGTAAAGTGATTTTCTTTCTTTGGCCATGAAGGATAAAGTCAGGATAAAGATGCCAGCATGAAATGCTACAACCCTTTCTCCTTACTAGAAAAAATGTTCAGCCTCCTCAAATGCAGGGACTGTAGGAGAAGAAGATATTGAGCTGTGAAATGCAGAATGAGGTGACAGTTAAGCGTTTTGTGGCTCTGGCTCAAAAGGTTTTCCAACGGAACATCACCAAATAAATAAATAAACAAACAAATAAATAAATGAGGGACAAAGAAGAGAGAAAGATGTGGAGTTATTTTTTGGGGCATGAGGATTTTCTACTCCTGTCAGTTTTTCCACTCTGGCTGCAGGGGTTTGAGCACCAGCAGAATGGCAGGTCTTTACTTAGCTGAGAATCCCTCACGACATGTTAAATTCCCTTTCAGTTTAATAGGGGAAAGATAACTGCTTGTGAAGAAAATTATCAAAACTATGTTCAATTTAGACATTTTACTGAGAGACTGAAAGAGGACTATAAGCTCTTTGGACCCTGAGATACATAATTGCACATCTTTGTCAAGCTCTCAGCGCAGTAACTTTTCAGGGTAGAGCCTTTGGTAGCTACTGTACTTTGAAGAGTAAATAAAAATAATTCATAAGGGAATTCTACGTGCTGGATTTTTACATAAGGACAAGATCTTATTTACTTGATGCATCTTTATCGGTCAGTCTGTTATCGGTCACTTGCTGGCTGCTGCTCCACCATGTCTTTAATTATGCCCATCCCATATATGCTGCTTTTTTGGACATCTTTGGTTACCTAAAAATCAGCTTATTTGTTATGTGCTAGGAAGGCACAACCTGAACCTGTTAAAACGTGAATCGATACCTAGTGGAGTTTCTGTTCAAATGCACTCAGCCCCCACGTAGTTCTAGCTTTTCCTTCTCCCCAACGGCTTGCGAAGCAAAAGCCAGTGTGAATGCAGACAGCTATTATTAAGGGTTACCATATGTTACAGCAGGCTATCACGTCTTCTTAAAACAGCACAATTAAGCAGATTACAGCTGAACTGCACACTTGGATTGAAAAAAAAACTGGAACGTTGTTAAGAGAAGGAAAAAGAGAATGAAAACAGGCTGAGGAATGGAGCGCTGCTTTGTACGCGAACGCCTGCTTTTCTGGGGCAAACTCTGCCCTGAGATGCACGCTCCAGCTTCCACCAGGATTGTGCATGCAGGAGCGCCTCACTATTTGCAACTCAAATTTCATTAAATCCAAGAATATCCAAAGGTGAAAGTCTCCGCGAAATCGAGCAGAGGCAGAAAGTGACAGGTGGTCTATAACCGCTGCCCAACACAGACCAAGCGCTGAAAGCCAACAGTGCCCAGAAGCGCAGGGAAATCAGCGTTCCCGTGTTGTTCCCGTCGTGGTAGTGCCTGTGGACACGGCTGGTGTCAGGGGAATTGTGACCCTGCCACATCCCCACACTCAGAGTCCCCCCTCACACACACAGACACCCCCGCGGGGCACACACCCGTCACACACCCACCCTGCCACACCTAGAGTTGCTCTCCCACACCCCCTCTCTCACACTCAGGGCGTCAGACACGGTGCCACACACACCCCCCCCACACACACCCCCACCACACACACGGCGGGGCTGGGCTGGGCGGGAAGCGGGCGGGGGGGGGCTGTGGGAGGTGCTCGCGCGCCGCCGCCGTTGCCGCCGCGGAGGCCGGGTGGCGCGCGCCGCGGAGGCGAAGGGGGCGGGGGAGGAGGAGCGCGAGCGCGTGCTGCTGGCAGGCCGGCGGCGCGCGCCGAGGCGGGCGCAGAGCGGCGGGGACGGGGCCGGTGGCGGCGGCAGCTCGGGGTCGGGCTCCTCGGGGTCGCGGTCGCGGTCGCGCCGTGCCCTCGCCAAGCGGCGCCTCGCGCGGCCGGGCCCGCCCATGGGGCTGTAGCGGCGCCCGCTGAGGAGGAGCGGGAGGGGAGCGGGAGCCGGTGAGTGGCGGCAGCGGGGGGCGTGCGGCGTGAGGGGGGAGCCCCGCGTGTGTGTGTGTGTGTGTGTGTGTGTGTGCGCGTGAGGCGGGCACAGCCGCCCCCTCCCTGCCCTGCCCTGCCCTCCCCTCCCTGCCTCCCTCCCGCAGGTACCGGCAGCGGGCGGGCCTGCAGGGCAGCGAACATGGCAGCGGCGGGGCCGGGGGAGAGGGAGAGGGCTCGCTGCCCCCGGGGCGAGGATTGACCCCCCCCTCCTTCCTCCTCCTCCTCCTCCTCCTCCTCCCCGGGAGACCCGCTCCTCATCCCCCCTTCCCCACCCCCTGCCCGTATTTTCTCCCCCCCCCCCCCTTGGAGATTATCGTGTCCCCCTCCCCTCTCCCCCTCCCCGGGATTATCGAGCCCCCTCCTCGTGGGATTATCCCCCCCCCCCTCCCCGGATTATCTCCCCCCGGGGATTACCTCCCCTCCCTCCCCTTTGTGGGATTATCCCCCCCCCCAGCCCCGCCGTGCCCCCCCACCCCCCCCTCGGGGATGATCCCCGCTGCCCGGGGATGATTCCTCCCCTCTTGATCTCTGCCCCGGCCTTTCCCCGGCCGTTCCCCTCCCGAGGAAGTCATCCCTCCCCTTCCGTCTGCCTCCCAGCTGGGAGAGGGGAGAAAACGTGGTCGGGAGGAGTTTGCCCCCCGCCTGGGTGCGAGTGCTCTGGGTGGGGGGTAATGGCTTGGGCAGCCTCGCCGCTGGCTTTCAGGGCAGTTGTTTTAGGGTCTTGGCTGTGGCCAGGAGGAAGGCACCTTTCTCATCATCTCCGAGGCTTATGTGGTTCGTTACTGTCACCGTGCTGGCAGGGGAAAAATGAGTTCGTTCTGAAGGAGCGGAGATAAGGTTTATCTCGCCTATGTGGCACCCGCGTAGGTTAGACCATTCTCTCGTTGTTATTCCTGGTCTTGCTGCACAGGGGATCGCCAGAGGAGAGTTGCAGAGCTCCTGACCATCCTGCGGCACAAGGCCCGGGATTACATCCATTAAACTTCCCCGACTTGGCTTTGGGAGGAGGAGGGACTGTGAGAAATTGTAGAGAGGCTAGGCAGCTATAAATAGCTGTCGGACTAAAGGAGGCTTTGAACAAATCTTAGCATACTGCTTCTGAACAGCTAGTGTCTGTTAAGCTGGTTGAGTTGACAGCAGCATCATAATGTTTCCTTTTATTTCTGCTGAGGTGGTTGGCTCTGAACACTTTGCGATGTGGCTGGTCCGTGCAACGTTTGTCACGAAATTCCTCTCGAAAGGGCAGTAAATTCACATTTAACCAAAATGCTGACAATTGGAGCCTGGTTCGAGCTAATTGCAGTGTGATTTTTAAACGACTCTTCAGAAAAAAAATCTTTAATTCCCTCCCTTGAAATGTTTGGACTTGATGATCTCGCTCTCCTGATTTTGTTCTTGAAGGATTGCACTATATAGATTACCTGAGATCCATATTGCTTTGGGAAATCTGCAGTACCGAGGCATGGTGTCATCCTAAGGCTGCTACCATCGTTAGGCTTTTATTTCCATCTCTTGCCTATGTGAGACACTTTCCTACCCTCCTCATTCTTATTTTTTATGGAACCTTCAGCATCCGACCCCAAACTGCGTATGTTCAGCTTCTCTGAATTCTGTGTGCTTGCGTGCGTTTGAGATCCTATGGATCACTGCTGCTTCAGCCTGGCTTGTCAAGAGCTACTTAATATGGAAATTATTGACAGATATACCATCGCAGCTATGTGGAATGGTGTCTGTTCTGCTGCTATATTAGTGGGCTAACTGTGCATGCCAGAAGTCTCCAAAATGATTGAAAAGCTGTTGCAACATATGTGCAATTGGACCTTTCTTGAACTACCTCTCATTGCTTTTCTCTCTTTAAACAAATAATGGAAGCTGTGCACTTAAATCATGCTGTAATCACATATGGATTTTTTACGTAAAATAGAAATAATGGAGAAAGTAGTGAAAGTGTTCCTTGCCGATACAAAAGAGGTCTGACAGAGAGGATGAATCTCCAAAACCAAACAAAAAGACACACACAATTTTTAGGATGGTTCTTTTTTAAAGTGTACACCTCGGGGAGATAAAAAGGAACAGAAATCTAGACAATCTAACTTAATACTTTTGGCAATCTTAGTTGATGTTTAACCACAGTAAAAGCAGGAAAAGCAAATAACCTACCAAATAATTTGGCAGGCTTTATTTTGAGCTTTCAAGGGTGCGATTGAGCATCGTCCTCAAAAAGTCAGCTTCTTCCATCAGAACCAAGCTCCAGCTTGAGATTGGGTCCTTGTGTTGGGTATTTCTGTGTGTGGAAAGAGGGGTCAGTGATATGGGGAAAACTTTGTAGTACCATAATGACAGGCAAAAGAGCCTTCAGTATGAGTCTACTCATACAGTGACTCAGTCCCTGAATCACACTGTTTTTCTAAATGTGTTTATTTGTAGAAATTACAGTTTCAGTGCAGTTTTAGAAAAAGTTTTGTGCCCTTCAAAACCATGCTTCGTGCTGCAGCTCTAAGCGAGTCCAAGTGCTGACTTGATGACCATTGCAGGCTCTTGTGAGTGCCCTCTGGTACGCTGTGCAGGACACTGATCTGTACACCAGTGAAGCTTTCTTCATGTTGTTGAAAAGGGGGGGATTTCTTTCTACTTCTGAGGCAGGTATGTGTTTGGGGTCATGGTAATGCCTATAGTAGGGCTTTAGGTGTTACAGTCTCCATTTAGATGTGGAGTAAGTTAAGCTGTCCTAAGATCCAAAGGCTAACAACAAATTCACACGGGTCTAAATGATATTGTCTCTTGTGCTCTGTGTTTAAGGTAAAGATGGATAAAAATTGACTCATCCTGGTTTGAGGGAATTGACTGATCATGCTACTAGATGGGGAGTGAGCATTTGCTGCAGAAGGCATACGATAGGGTGGACAGTTGGCCTTGAATGAGATGTTCATATTTATCTTTTGTGGAAGGGGGAGCCAACAGGAGGTGAGGTGTGGGGAGAAGCCTTTCTTAACAGGCAAAACAGGTTACTGTAGCGGGATGCAGCACACAGTATGTAATCTATAAACTCAGCGCTATGGCAAACTGGAATGGGTTTGGCCTTGTAAATGTGGTTAAAAAAAAACAGGCTTCTTAGAAATATCCTACAACTGGAGCAGCATGGATGATACTGGGGTCATTTGTGTGGAAGCATGTAGAATACGATCATGGGATTAAGAGCGAGGGTGTTAGGGGAAAGTGGTTTTAGCGTCTTCTGCAACAGAAGAAACTCGCAAAGGGTACTGGGCAAAAAGTGAGTTTCCTTCAGGCTTGCACGTGAGAGGCAGCTAGAAGTACAGAAGTGCGGGCCACAAACACTAAGAGGAATGTAACGGTTTGTTTTCGTGGGCATGGAGGTGTCAGCGTGACTTTTCTGTCACAGGACGAGTGGTAGACAATGATTGTTTCAGAGCTCACAACTGATCTAAGATTTCAGTTGTGCGTGCGCTAGCTAGGAGAAGGCAGTGTCAAATAGCTGGACCAGTAGGTGGTTTTGGCCGGCTCCGTACAGCTGTGAATAAAGTCTTTACAGTCTGAGTTCAACAGAATGTCAGAATGATGGTTCAGGTTCAGATGTAGGGGGAGAAGTTTAGATTGCCTTTAAGATTGTCTTTGATTTCCTGGTCATTATTACTAACCATCTGCAGTTACGCTCAGGTTATACTAGAGCAAACTGTTGTCCTTTGCAGAGAGATTAATGAGGCATAGTGATGTGAATATGCTATTTTCTGGCTTAAAAATTGCCTTTTTTCAGAATAAAGCTAGCTTGAATTATTTAATTATGTCTGATGCCATTCTTACAAGAATAATGGAGGCAAAAAAAAGAGAGGTTGGAAGAAGTGCTTTTCCTTATCAAAGCATTTACATTCCTATTTTGGGTTGATTAGTGTCTTTAAAATGATAGTGAGTAAATTTACAACTTGTATTAAATAAGAAAAATTTGTAAATGGAACCTTCTCTACCTTTACTTCGTGTTTTATTATTTCCAAGAACTCTTTGGCTTATAAACAAAATCCAACAAAACAAACAGGTGTTACATTTTGAGAATACTTGACATTAGCAACCGTTCGGTGGGTTTACCCGTGTTGGTTATCTAAAGAACTCATTCCAGTGTCTAGGTCTCATGAAAGCATGGTGGAAATTAGTAAGGTATTAAAATTAGATGGCTTTTCAGATTTATTGGCAACAAATGTTATTTAAGAAATTACTTGGACCTGCTATTTTAAATGTATTGACTAGTTTTGCCTGCTGACAAGCAACCATTTGAGAATAGGAACCTCAAAAATCCATGCTGACGGTGGGGAAAGTCAGTAATTTTCACAAACTCTTGGGGGAAAAAAGAAGGAACCAGTTCTTTGCGTATTGCACTAATACATTACTCTTCTAGCCTTCGCATATCCAAATTAAAGGATCAGTATTTCAGCTAAATTCACTTTTCCAGTAGGTGGAGACACAACTGTTGATTTCAAACAACTTCAGCCTTCACTTTTTGAGTCCAAACGTTTTGTCAAAATACTGTTAAAATAATGAAAATTAGGAAGTAAGAAAAAATGCTTTACTTTTCCTTTTCAGATCAGTTCATTTAAGCCTCTTTGCTGAGATAGCGTTGGCATTCAAGTATTGCTTCTATAGTAAGAGCAGCTACTGAAATAGTTTGTTTTTAGCTTTCTAATTAAAGCTTTATCTCCACCCACTGGTCAAATGTGCATTAATGAAAAGTTAAAGTGATACTGCTTTAAATACCTAAACAGGATAGAGGAAAGTAGATTGAGGGTAAATAGACCGAGGTAAACAGAGAGGGTAAAGGTTTTTCTTAGGGCTAATAACACAGTATGGGGGAGCACTCAAATAAATCTCTAGGGGAATGAAAGAAAGATGTGTCAGCCATTCTAACTATGTTATTGCTTTCTTCCTTCCATTGTTTGTTTGTTTGTTTTTAA